GTGTCCTGAGATATCAAAACTCTGTCATGTGACGTGGGTTCATTTCTAACACACATTCAGACACACATAAACATAGACACACACACACACATTATTAACATTGCTAAAATATTTATATCAGAGAAAAAAAATATTTATATCAGAGAAGTCTTCCTAAAAAAAAAAAGGTTATGTACCTATGAGTCAAATGAAATAATTAAAACGGTATTGTAACTTAAACTAGTTAAATAATGTATATCATATTTACGTACGTATTGGAGCAATCTCGTATAGTCGACCATTATTGCTTTGACCGCATAGTCGAGTGATTTAATCTTAGTAATTTAATACAAATGTACAATAGTGCCAAAAGTGTTGTAAAATATAGAAATTTTGAGGTAGTCAATAACTGCTGGACTATGGACAAACAGGGATATGGTATGACAGAGGCAGGACCAGTGTTGTCAATGAGCCTTGGGTTTGCTAAAGAGCCAATTCCATCAAAATCAGGCTCTTGTGGGACTGTAGTCCGAAACGCAGAGCTTAAAGTGGTTCACCTTGAGACAAGCCTCTCTCTTGGCTACAACCAACCTGGTGAGATTTGTATCCGTGGTCAACAAATCATGAAAGGTTCGTTTTTCATTTTTCTTCTGTCTTCTGCTCATATCAACAACATGTTTTTTTTTATTATGATGTCTATAAATGACGTCATTTACATTTATTAAGCACATGTGACATGTTTTTATATTTCTTGGAATGAAAAGTTGACAAAAATATTCAAAAACGTAATAAAGATTTACTGGACATATCACAATTTCGACATGATTAAGATTTAGGGGATATAAAATTTCAACTGACTTTTGGCGCGCAGAGTACTTGAACGATCCGGATGCCACGTCGGCTACAATAGACGAGGAAGGTTGGCTTCACACAGGTGACATTGGGTATGTTGATGAAGATGATGAGATATTCATTGTTGATCGACTCAAAGAGGTCATCAAATTCAAAGGCTTTCAGGCAAGTCCACTGACAATATTTGAGTTAATTTAAAACAAAACTTAAAAAACAACTGAATTTAATTATTTATGTCCTCGCTTTAAATCATTTTTTTCAGTTAATATTATTCAGTCTCCTAAAAGATTTTAAATGTTAATTAGATAGGTAACATAACTTTAAAATCGTTGAAAAACAAATGTCACATCATTAAAAACAGAACATGTGTTTATACATCTGAAAACATGCTATTTGTCAGAAAAAAGGTTTTCCAAATTAGTATATCACTTTTACTCTATAACTAATAATACAATAAAATAATATCAAAATGTCGAGATTAATTTGAAATATTTCTCAACTTTATACAATAAAGATACAACGTATTGCTTACATTATAAATAAGATTATTTAGAAATTGTGGCATTAATGATGGAATACGGAAGAACAGGTGCCCCCGGCTGAGCTAGAGGCTTTGCTCATCAATCACCACTCTATTGCGGATGCTGCGGTTGTTCCGTAAGTAGCACAACAATATTTGCATTGAGTCTCGTAAGGTTGTGTAAGCGACACTGTTTCTAAACTTTATTGATCACTTGCAGACAAAGAGATGAAGTGGCTGGAGAAGTTCCGGTGGCTTTCGTAGTACGATCTAATGGAAATGACATCACGGAAGAAGATATAAAAGAATATATAGCCAAACAGGTACACATTAAGTTGGTCTTTCTTTTTTGGTTAAAAAGAAATATCTTCATGTTGATATCAGGGGACAATATAATAGGACCTCTCATTGACAAAAACAAAATAGGACTACTCTCATAAACAACTTCAAAATAACTTTTTACTTTCATAGAATAGTTTTAATCATAAAATAGTGTTTCTTACATAATATACAAGAGAAAATAATCCAACTAACTAATTTCTAAAATAATTTAATAGATAATAAATTTAATAAAATAAATATTTATTTTAAATAAAATAAAATAAGTATATATTACAAAAAACTTTCAACAATTTGATGTATAAATGATGTCGATTATAAGTTCCAAGCATTTTAGACTTGGTCCTTGCTTGTGCCTATGTGGTTTTACACCGCGAGGAGATATCAATACTATTAAAAGAGAAGGAGTCCTAAAAAATCTACTTATAAAAGATTGTTTGGACTCTTTCATTTAAATTAATTTGGTCCTATCTAATATTTCCTAATATTTCTCTAACTATATTAATGATAGTTAATGTTCTCTATCTATACATACATTACATTTACCATTCTTTTTGAACCACCCGTTACTTTTACCATTTAACTATATGATATTGTTTGGTATGCCAAATTTTTATACATACATAACTCCATTATACTAAATCATATAAATACATTATACTAACATATCATCTTTAACCGTGTGTAATGAATCTCATGACGAAAATATTAATATTGATTCAGCCCAATAAACGAAAATTATATTTAACATATCATCTTCTTTAACTGTGTCTAATGAATCTCACGACCAAAATATTAATATTGATTCAACCCAATAAACGAAAATTATATTGTTTCTTGGTGTCATCCTTTCCATTGATCGAACTGTATCTATTAAAACCAAAAATTTCATTTGATGTCTTATGTTGGCCTGATACATTATAGCTTCACTTTAATAATGGAGAATGTAAATGTAGTTTTCCCAACACATGTCATCCTCCTGAAGCAAAAAATATGCATGCCAAATAATTTTATTCAAAAATTATTTATTTATCCCAAAACCATATACACTATTAAAAATATTTATCTTAAAAATCTAATGTTAAATATTGTTACACCTTTTTTTGTCACTGAAATATTGTTGCACCTATTTATTTTTGTCTTAACATGCCTTATAGTAAGATAAATTCTTAACCAAATCTATATTATTAATAGAGAGTCATTTAAAAAGTATACTTATTGCTTAAATTTATTTTAAAGTAAATCTATTGTATAGAACAACATTCGTTTGTTATAGCAACATTTTAATACTTATTACATTTTAATTAATAACTCATGTTTTCCAACAATTATTATAAAAATTATTATCTATTACATTTTAGTAACCCACATTTATTTCAATCACACTAATGTACAACATATCTTGACTTTTAAAACTTTGATTTAAACTCTTGACTTTTAGAATATTTGATTTAAAATATATCAAATGTTTCCTATCTTTGTTTCATTAAACCAATATTTTTTAATATTTCATACATACATTATATCAAAAGAGGTAAAATGTTTCAAAATATAAGGTTTATGTTCGGATTTGTGGGTCTAGGTTCTTCGGATCCTAGATATTTAGACATAACTAGGTATTTTAAAATGTTTGGTTCCAGTTAGGGTTGTTTGTCTTCGGCTCTGGATTAGTTCAAGTTCACAGTTCAAATATCTATAAAGTTCTTATTTATGGGATACAGTCTTGGGCTTACTTTTGTTTTTAGGACAAATTATATGGTTTGATTTTTAGGCTTACTATTCAGGAAAAACTTCAAAAAACATTGAATAAAATTTATATCTTAATGGATCAAAAAATCAATTATTATTTTCAGGCCCAAATGTATTTAATATTTTTAACAAAACAAAATTGTCTATTATTAATCATTTATTTAAATCATGTACTTTAAAACATGTTATTGTATTTTTTATTTTAAATAACAATCATTTTTTTTTGATAAATTTCAATGGTAACTTTTAAATAATTTCTTGACCTTACACGCTTGCATATGCGGGCATATTTTAATTTATTGAAATCATGTACTTTAAAACATGTTATTGTCTGGATTGGTTCGAGTTTTTCGGATCTAAAAAGTCACGGAATCCCCAAACACACAAAAAGACTGAAAATACAATAAATACCCGAAATCAAAACAAATACTTTAAAAATATTCTTATATTCAAAAGATTCAAAATTTTACCCGTAACCTAATCTAAGGAACCAAAAAATACCCAAAATTTAGTCAACCCAAAATATATTTAAAAAAAAATTGAAATTATACCCAAAACCCCAAACTATAACCGAATAAACGAACAAGAAACTTAAAAAATATCTGTAATGCCGAAAACATATCTGAAATACCTAAACATACCTAATATCCACAAAAAATTCCAGGTACTTTAGGAACCGATTGAGTCTCGGATAGGATCTAAACTCAAACAGAAACTCACGGGTCAAAAAAAAATATTGAATAGAAACTTTGCTATGAACTCAAACCCGAACTTCACCTATATTTTGTGTTGGTTTCGATTTGATTTTTCAGGTTCGATAAAATACTGAAGCCTAAGAAAAAGTTAGATATAAATGCACATATAAAGTCTCAAATTAAATAATTTATAAGTTATATAATTTTAAACAAATTTCCTTCCCTGATATAATATGATTTGGTAACATAATAATGTACAACGATCTCAAAACATTAATTCATATAAAAAATTATAATCCAAAAAAAACCCGCGCTTTTGAAGCGCGGGTCAAAATCTAGTATAAATTAAAAGATCTCACGGGAAATAAGACATTTGCTTAGGTTTTTATCAGTGAGATTATATACTTGTGATTTTCGTTATCTTCTTTATATATAGAATGAATGAATCTGTTGCTCAAAAAAAAAAAAAAAAAAAAAAAAAAAAAGAATGAATGA